AAGTGCGCGCTCTCCTTTTCATTACTGCCGTGACCAGTATCGCTCTGGAGACTATAAGCTGGATCACAAACAGTTCATACAGATCCATCCTCGAGAAAAAACTTTTTAGCAAAGCCTGCTTTGTATGGACCCTCGTTCACAACGCAGTTTGGTTACAAGATTGGGGGCGCATTCCCTTCAAAAACAAAAGTAATCCAATGCATCTTCAGAAGGCTCTGATGTCAGGAGTACATGACGACTGGTGTGGTCATTTTTACATCCAACAACAAAACACCTTAATCGCTTAGAAGACATTCTTGTCTACAGCTGCCCCTGCGTTGAAACAATGGCAGACTGTGTACAGCTCACTCAGGGCTAATACGGCAGTGTCAGTCAACAGTCGTGGGCAGAATTTTATCATTATAGGGTTGTTGTGTACAGACACTGCCAACACACATTTATGTTCAAACACCATGTAAAAGTGAATTTTGCATAATAGGTGGCCTTTTAAGGCTATTTATATACTACTGAATGTTGACATTTTGCATATTACACATTTCTGTTCCATGAAAATAAATATTGATGACTCATGCTCCACTATAGAGATTTTGGTCCTACTTTATATTAAGTGGCTTTAAGTACTATGTACTTACATTGAAAAATAAGTACAATGTACTTATTGTGTTCAGGTTGTATTGTAAAACACTTTTGCTGCTATTGAGGTGTGATACGGGTAAAGTTAGGGACAGGTGTGGTGGTATGGGTCGGTTTAAGGGTAGGTTAAGGTGTAGGGGAAGGAGCAACAGTGTAATTACAAACACTGTTTATTTGTAAATTACATTACAAATGTAATTACATAAATTAATTTCAGCTGTAATTACATGCAGGTATTTTCAAAATATAAGTACAATGTAAACATGTATGTTCTCAATAAGTCCATTGTATCAAATTATTAATTTCAATGTAAGTACATAGTACTTAAAGCCACTTAATATAAAGTGGAACGAGATTTTTGTCAGTTTCATGCTCTCTAGAAGGTCGGGGAAGGGTAAAGTGCCCTTTCGGTTGTATTGTGGTGCCCCCCAGAACGTGATTTTTAACTGAGGGGGATCTAAATGTTTGTACATTTATCATTATATCAATCTGATGCTCAAAATGAGAAACAGGTGCAACAATCAGTAGAAACAAGAGAAAATGAATATAACATAATTAAAGATGAAGGTGACACCTTAAATAAACCTGAATAAACTATTCTGTTTTGGTGTTTTGATCAAAGGCGATCCATGACCACTTGAACGTAGGTTGTTGAACCTCATGAGCCTGGAAAAGGATTTAAAGACATTTCTAACCTTTCTCAATCTCTATTCAATGCATCTAAAATAATGTACAATGGAGAAGGTTTCAGACCACTGGCAATCTGTCCAGACTGAACCATTCCACCAAACTCACCCCAAGAGCAGAGCACAAGGTGCTTTAAGGAGTGCCTCCACTCATTCAGGTTTGTGCTGAAGAGCCGAGAACATGTCCCAGCCATTCAGCAGGTAGTTCAGAGTTGTGGCAAGAGGGACACAGCGCTTTGTTCCCTCCATACGTTAACAGAGGTTACAATAGTAACCAAAAGTAATAGTAACTAGGGGTCAATGGGGAAAACACTAATGACCAGGTTGCTGGAAGTCCCGAGGCAGTGCTTGGAAGTTCACCACTTGATCCCTAAATAGCCTGGCCAGGGTCTCAGGATCACGTGAGAGTATGCCGGACTGAACTAGGCACATTTCGCTGACAGAGAACGCCTACAAGTGAAAAAGTAGAAAAACTTGATGGAAGTGAGCGCAATCAGAAGGGGCTGTCTTCAAAAAGAGGGCTATCAACTCAACTGACTCCAAGGGCTCAAAAATAGCATTCTGCAGGCCCAGCAAGACAACAGAGAGGTCCCAAGAGGGAATAAGGCGTGACCTAGGAGGATTTAACCTCCTGGCGCTTCTGAGGAACCTGATGATTAGGTCATGCTTCCCAAAGAACTTACCATCCACTGAATCGTGATGTGCAGCTTGGTGGGGGAGGACAGCCTCCCCTCCAACCTCTCCTGCAGGAAGGAAAGGACAGACCCAACTGGGCATCACTGTAGGTCTTTACCTCAGGAAGAACACCAGTTTGCAAACAGATGCAACTTAAAGTCCCTGTAAAGGCAATTAAAAAAAAAAATTCTAAACACATTATAAATGTTAGAAATGTATTGCTAAAACACATTACAAAGACTGTGAACTGTGAAGTACTGAATTGTGGAGTTAGACCGTTAAACAGTTTTTCACCATTGATATTTTACGGATTTTTTTGGGCGGGGCTAAAAGGGTACTCGATGACGCACTGGAGTGCCTGAGCTCCTGGCCCCGCCCCTACCTGATGACGCACTGGAGTGCCTGAGCTCCTGGCCCCGCCCCTACCTGATGACGCACTGGAGCCCCTGAGGCTGGCCGCTCCCCTAACAATATAAATAGAGCACATTCGCATCAGTTTGCCGCTCAATTGCGAGTTACTGTCAGTATTATTAGTTCCTACAGCTTACAGTTTGCTAGTTAGCTATGTCTTCGTCACGGAAATGCGTAGGCTACTACTTGGATGCGATCACGTACAAAACAGATCGGTGTCCTTATTTAAATTTCCTAAATACGATCACATCAAGAAGAGGTGGATTCATTTTGTGAAGAGCCACCTTGATGGAGAGCTGAGGATCACCGCCAACACCCGCCTCTCTAGTGATCATTTTACACGGGATAGTTTTATAAACTTTCGTCGGAGACAACTGGGATTGACTGATAATCCGCTGTTACTGGTGAATGGGGCCGAACGACTATCTCCCGCCTCGGCCTTCATCCTCCCATCGCGCCGACAACTGGTGACATCATCAGCAGTGCGTGCCCACCAATGAGTGTAAGTTGCCTTGTGCGCTTATGTTATAATTAACCTAATAAGCTGCCAGGAGAATCCATTCCAGCTGTAGCGGGTGAAAGTTGATTGTGGCGACGGCAGCTTTACCACGAGTGGGCGTGGTTTCAGCGCAGCCAGCGGACACCCCCCCAGCGTTTGAGAGCAGAGACTACTGCTCATTTTTTCAAGATTTTGATAGCTTATTTTATGTACTTGCCGGCTTTTTTTATCATTCAAATTTGGCTGGGTGTCTAATAACACATTTTTCTGTGATATGACAAACTCAGAACACATACTTCATTTTGACTTTACAGGGACTTTAAAGGCATATAGCCGTCCATGAGGGAGCTCCTGTCCAGGGGTCAGACGTGGAAGTCTGGGCGAGGGTGCCAAATTAAGCCCTGTCCCAGAGAAACCTCTTCCTCAGGGGAATTTACAAGGGAGGGGCTGTCGCGAGAAGCGTAAGCTCAGGGAACCAAGTTAGGGTGGGCCAGTATGGCACAACCAAAAGGACATGTTCTTCGGCCTGGGCCTGGCCGTGGGCCAAATATGTGTGCCAGCGCGTCTGTGCTGAGTGGAGCCTCGGTCAGGGAATGGTGGACATCGACTGGCCGAGAGCCCGTGCTGTGACCTTCGTTGCTTGTAGAGCTAAGTCGGACACCAAACGCACTTCCTGCATCAATTCCGGCTCAAGACTACCCTTGTGCAGATCTCTTAGTGCCTTGGCCTGATGGCCTGTCTAGAGGCACTGTAAGCCCTTGCTGCCAGGTAGTCTTGAGCAGGAATTGATGCAAGAAGAGCGTTTGGTGTCCGACTTAGCTCTACGAGCAACGAAGGTCACAGCACGGCTCTCGGCCAGTCGATGTCCACCATTCCCTGACCGAGGCTCCACTCGGCACAGACGCGCTGGCACACATAAATGGCCCACGGCCAGGCCCAGGCCGAAGAACATGTCCTTTTGGTTGTGCAGATAGACAGGCCATCAGGCCAGTCTAGAGGCACTGTAAGCCCTTGCTGCCAGGGACAAAGTAAACTTACAGGCCCTGGGACGATTCTGCCAGGTGGCAGCATAAATGCACAAATACACCCCAATTGACCGCTCCACCTGTGGAACCTCTGTGTACCCCCTGCCCACCCCACCAACGGGGGTAGTGAGGGTGGAAAAGCTTGTGAAGAGGGCCCTGGTGGTAAAAGGTGCCCTGGCGGTAAAAGGTGCCTTCCACAACTTTGTGAGCTCTTCATCCACCTCCGGGACGAAAGGCACTAGGGTGGGCCAAAGCTGTGAGTCACGCTCCAAGGCCAGATACCAAATACAACTCTGCATCAAACTCAGGCTGAGCTGCCATACCCGACGCAGCAATCGATAATTCGTCCTCTTCTGGAGACCCAAATGAGAAATTTGGCTTGGCACAAGACGAGCCACGTAACTCATCCATGAACTCCACCAGACGCAATTTGTGCAAGATGAGGAATGTGAGGCCCATGGGGATTGACCCGGCAGAAACGCTCCCATTCTTCATCTCATTGTTCCATAGCCTGGTGCATAGCAGAAGGACCAGAATGGGGAGTATCTGAAGTGACTCCTTCTCTAACCAGAAAAGAGAGTCATTGCCATCGTCATGTTCTTGCAATGACTTATCTGTGCTTTAGAGAGGGGAGAGAGACCACTCTAATGCATCGTAAACACCAGCCTCGTACCAGGTTCTCTTGTAGAGGTGAATGGATTGAATGCTTGCATCAACACTCGGCTCTGAAGAACCAATCTGAATTAGTGGATGCACGCCATCTCCTTTTATACCCATATGTCCGGGGGAGTGGTGCATGCAAATTCCATGTGTACATCAACACAACATCAAGGTGACTGACAGATTAATGTCACGCAAAGGCTGCATTTGAAAAATCTCAGTTTTAAGTTAAAACAGCAAAAAACAGAGTTCCCGCACTTTTGACCTATAAGATTTCCCAATGAATTTTCCATGACTCTCTAGTTCATGTTTATTTTAAAAAAGGCTTTTAAAGAGATTGCACTAAAAAACACACTTTCTCATTACAAACAGTAACACCCCCCCTAAAAATCGATGCTGGATTTGACTCACCTGCCAGTACACCACACACATACACCAGGCCAATTCTCAAAGCTCCATGGACCATCTCTAACGGCACACCAACCAAAAGTTGCATAGCCATGTTTAGGCCCAGGTGTTCTATTCTGAAACATATAAATCAGCCATTAGCATTAGCATAATTACAGATGTTTTTGAGGAAGGGATGAATGCCCTTTTTACAATTTGGTACATTTGGATTTATTGCAGGGTAAATAAACAGCTTTGGTTATGTAAAGTTGATTAATCTTATATTGTACTACTTGTCAACTACCTGTAAATGTTAACATTTTAGGATCACACAACATAAACTGAGTGACATAAAATAGAAAAACCTTAATAAATGAAAGGACAAAACTCAGCAATGCAATTCTCAAGAACCAAGCATGCACGGTTGAGCTTCTGTTTACCGTATTTGATGTACTGTACACTATTTGTTTGCTGATCAGAAAGCCTGTTCATCATATAAAGTGTTTGTATCTTTTCAGAAAACTTGGATTAAATCGCTCTATTTATTTGGATTACTTTTATAGTGTCTTTACGTACTTTTTGAAGCTTTTTGAAGAAAATTTTAAATTTTGGGTAAACCATTCTTTTACGATGCTTTAATTGATCGTAGATCATAAACGCGAAAGAAAAAAAAAAAAAACGATTATTATGCCACCCACCTGCCCTTATCAACCTCCAGATGTCAGTGGTAAATCCAAGAAGATCTGCTTATCTAAAGTCAATGAGTGACTTCAAATTATTATTATTAGATATTAGATTAGCAGAAGAGTTTTTTAAATATATATTTTTTAATTCAACCAATAAATCTTAATACATGTAATAATTGAAAATGCTGTTGCTGTGATCTCATGTTAAAGTTTCAAATACTTGTCAGAAATGTGTCAGAGATGAGGACTGGTTGGTAGTGCGTGTACCAGGGACGTAGCACCAAATCTTGGGCCCTATGCAAAGACTGTGTGTGCGGGGGGCCCTTTGCCATCATCATACGCTATTTATCACACTTTTTTTATAGTGTACAACTATACACATAGCACTCATTAATAGAAAAACAATTGTACTTTATATCATGTAAACAGTAAAACAATCATATTTGTATATGAATTGTGCTATACTTATAGCACCCCAGTATCCCCCTAGACATAAAAATGACAGTTTAACAATATTTAACTGGAATTATGTTTTTTTTAACAGACATTGTCCTTTGTATTCCAAAACATTACAATCTTTCCAAACTATTTAACAGTGTAGTAACAGTGTGGTAGTAACAATGGTATTTTGACAGTTTAATATAATAACGCCATCTTAAAATTATATGATCAAGTTTGCTATATATTTTAATGCAAGATCCACACAAAGTTTCCACACATACTTTCCATATTGTTTTCCATTTTTACAGTTTATCTCTAAAGATTTGTCACACACTTTACTTCAGTGTTTAGAGTAGGATAAGTGCGTCATGAGCTTCAAACAAGTTGTTTCACATTATGTAGGAAAATACAGACTCCCGTGCAGCAAGCATCTATTTACATAACATAAACAGTGGCTTATAAGTCGCAGTCGCCTCGCTCGAACAATATAGGTTCTCACTTGGTCTCTTTGGAAAGAAATTTGTGTGGAATTGTTTTCCCTCACTATCTTTACTTTCCTTTCCTCCACTTTTTGCCTGATCTTTGTTTGAACGTTATACGTGGTGGTGGTGTGACTCGAAGATCACCACACTCAGATGACTCCTTGTCTGCTCCTCTCCGGCCAGTCCGCTCTCCCTTACAGCCAATTAGTGTTTTGCAATGTTCCTAGACAACCAATCAAATCATGCAAATTGCGAGCATGCTGTGATCGTGGGAGGTGCCTACACAGACGTGTGCCAAACTTTGTCAAATGAGCGAGCAGAGAAATAGAACAGATTTGCACAATTGTAAAAATAATGAATAATTTCAGGATCTTCATGAGCCCTTGGACTGTGTCACCCCCCCCCCCCAACACCCCCTCCCCCCCACGGTGTGTACTCTGACACACTCCTCTCCTGCTCCAACTTTGTTTAGTCCTCTTTTTTTTTCTGAAGCCTTGACCATTTCTCCAACTGTTCTAATTCTCTGACCTTCAGCAGTGCACATGGAAAACTGTTACACATGAAGTCCTACACACCTACAGCAGTGTATGTGACTTTGGCCCTTAATAATGACATATCTGGGTGACAAAGAAACTTTTAACTACAGGCAATATTCCTCATGTCACATACTTGGCTCTCCTCAACATCGCCAAATAGATCCTATATAAGCAAAATCTGGACCCAGATCTAAAATAATAAGAAGGTCAGATTAATTATTCTCATAGAACAAGAACCTGAAATTTACAAAGCTTTGGATAACTAGGGCATGTATCTTAACGCTGTGTATTGTGAAAAGCGCTATACAAATAAATGTCAATTGAATTGAACTCATGGTGGATGATCATACAGATCTAAAAGAAAGAATCAGTGTAACACAACTTATTGAGGATGTTGATGATGACATCAGCCTGACAGACAAAAGCAATAACAAAATTTTAACAGGATAAGCCTTTAATATGTAAACTGAAAGTGAACATCTTTGAACGTATTAGCCTACAGTATCTTCAGTATAGGTATACAACAAGAGACAGTTCATGTCCCCAAAAATAGAATATAAACGTAACTGAATTACTTATCAGGAAAATCTGCATGAATGATCTTAAAGGAGAACTCCGGCGCAAAATGAACCTTTGGTCTAATTACACATTGTTACCTAGTCAACCGTTATCTGAGATTTGTTTTCATGATTATCGAATGTAAATAGTTTTATCTCTAAAAACAGTTTAGCCTATAAAGCTAGTATAACGGTAGTATATTGGGCATAGATCAATGACAAATAAAAATCGCTTGTTAATACCACTAACAAGGCTCAAAATAGCCCCACACTAACACGGTAGCATAATGAGGCTCCCTACCTTCAAACCGAAGCATTGAGAACTTTGTCAGTGTCCAGACAGTTTAATAAGAAGATATTTTAAACATACAGTCAACTTCGTGTATACAGGCAGAAGCCATCTTTGAAATACAGCCTTTACCAGTCGATCTACGAACGCCGATCCAAGCCTGCTGTTCGCGCTCACCTTATCATTCTCACCAGCGCACTTGGATCGGCGTTCGTAGATCGACTGGTAAAGGCTGTATTTCAAAGATGGCTTCTGCCTGTATACACGAAGTTGACTGTATGTTTAAAATATCTTCTTATTAAACTGTCTGTACACTTACAAAGTTCTCAATGCTTCGGTTTGAAGGTAGGGACCCTCATTATGCTACCGTGTTAGTGTGGGTCTATTTTCAGCCTTGTTAGTGGTATTAACAAGCGATTTTTATTTGTCATTACACTATGCCCAATATACTAGCGTTATACTAGCTTTATAGGCTAAACTGTTTTTAGAGATAAAACTATTTACATTCGATAATCATGAAAACAAATCTCAGATAACGGTTGACTAGGTAACAATGTGTAATTAGACCAAAGATTCATTTTGCGCCGGAGTTCTCCTTTAAAGCAACACCAAGGAACTTTTCCTCTGCGGTCGCCCTACAGGTTGGAAGCGGAATTGTCCTAATTGGCAATCTTACATAGCGTGGATATACCAGATATTAAAGGACCGCAAAGCCGTGGCATAAGTGCATTTCACCATGTCATGACTTGATGAACCACTGAAACGATTTTGGAAACATTATTTGAAGGTAAAAAATCCTACTTAGTGTTGCTTTAAGGCTCTGATCTAAAACTGATCTCTGTTTCAACAAAATCCACTGTTTCCAGAATAAGAGATAATTGAATCACCACTATGAAAAGGCTGAAATAAGAGGGTACATTCGAAAAAGCAAGAACAAATTTTACATACACTAACATATACAAATGATACAGTATGTATGTAATTAAGAAGTGCAACAGTTAATTCTGTTGTGGCTTTGTTTGGATTTTTTTTTTTTTGGCTGAGCAAAAAAAGAGTGATAACATTGTATCTCAATATTAACTTGTTTATTGAACTGATCGTAATCGTGCTATTGGTCTGAATATCACCACATGAGATCAAAGCAACTGTTACGGTGTGGTGTGGGTTGAAGAAGACTCAGGGGGCTTCTACACTGGGCTCGTTTGCTGTGGTCTGAGCCCGAGCGCGATTGTTCCCGGCGCCCCCCGCAGCGTTGGTCTGGTTTCACACTCAACTTGATTCTATCGAACCCTGTTGCGTTTGCGTGCATATTACGCCATCACAAACGTGTACTGCGCATGATAGAAAACAGAACGCGGGTCAATATATTTTGTTTTTTATTAATTCGCTGATATTATACGCAGTTGAGTGAACAATACAGGTTTACTGTGTGTGTGTCACATAAGGTGGGGTTCTGCTGCTTGCAAACAGACTCTTTTGAGGAGACAGTGGATTTCCAAATTTTTTGCCCTGATTCCATGCGCAATGCGCGAATACACTGCCGGCTCACTCTCGCTCGTATCCAAGGTAATTCATCAACACTTTCATCCCTTACAAGTGTTTTATTTAACTGAATACATCACAATAAGCTAAAACGCATGCGCAGGTCACTTTACTTCCTGAACAAGTGCGCACCCGAGTCCGTGTTGCTTTCACATTCACGCGAACCGCGGAACGGTTCGGGAGCAACCGAACTCAGACCACCTCCTCCAGGTAGTCTCTGGTTCGGTACCCCAGTGCACACCCGGGTCCCATGACAACGTTCACATTAGCATTTTTTAAGCGAACCGTGCCCCGTTCCGAACTAAACTGCCAGTGTGAAAGCACCCTTAAAGTCCAAAGGCTCCAATACAAATGATTTACTTACATTTTACTCACAGGTACATACAGGCAGGCAGGATGACAGGCAGGATAACACACACTCTAAACACAATTATGAACAAAGTAGAACCGACAAGGACTGACTGAACAGAGGGAAACTAAATACAGATACCAATGAACACTAACGAGGTGAGGACAGGTGACACGGATGATGATGATGATGATGAACAGGTTTGTAATGAGGGAGTGAGTTCAGGTGTGAAGACACGAGGGATACTGGGAAGTGTAGTGAAGACGAAGACAGGATGGTGCAGACGATGACTGTGACATAAATCCCCCCTTCAAAAAGCCCTGAAGGCTGACCAGGGCGTGGAGACGCCCCCTTCGGGTGGCCATGGCGGAGAGGACCCTTCGGGTGGCCATGGCGGAGAGGACCCTTCGGGTGGCCATGGCTGAGATGACCCTTCGGGAGACCATTGGCCGGGGACCTATATCCCCCCCAAGAAAAGTGGGGAGTGACAGGCTCAAGGATGTGCTCAGGGACAGAAGACTCAGGCTCGGGAACAGTCTCTGTTTCGCCTTGCGTGACGTGAACGGTCTCTGGCTCGGCGGGCGTAACGTGAGCGGTCTCTGGCTAGGCAGACGTGACGTGAACAGTCACTGGCTGGGCAGACGAGACGTGAAGCGCAGGCTCGGCAGGGCTGACGTGGAGCTCAGGCTCTGTGCTGGACGGGACCAGCGGTGAGGGCTCTGGGCTGGACGGGCGGTGAGGGCTCTGTGATGGACGGGACCAGCGGTGAGGGCTCTGTGATGGACGGGACCAGCGGTGAGGGCTCTGTGATGGACGGGACCAGCGGTGAGGGCTCTGTGATGGACGGGACCAGCGGTGAGGGCTCTGTGATGGACGGGACCAGCGGTGAGGACTCTGTGATGGACGGGACCAGCGGTGAGGGCTCTGTGATGGACGGAACCAGCGGTGAGGGCTCTGTGCTGGACGGGACCAGCGGTGAGGGCTCTGGGCTGGACGGGACCAGCGGTGAGGGCTCTGGGCTGGACGGGACCAGTGGTGAAAGCTCGGGGGGACGAGACTCCAGACCGGGGATGAACACAGGAGAGGTGACGTGCAAATCAGGTGTTGTCATGGCGTGCCACGGGAGGAAGCTCTGCAGACAACCGGAGAGATCTGGGAGCTCCCTTGGATCGACCGCCTTAGCCCCCAGCCGGTAACACGCCTTGATCGTCTTGTCGCCCAGCGAGCAGGAGGCAGCGAGAGGAACAAACCCCCAGGTGAAGTGGAACAGATCGCGACTATCCAGAGCCAAAGCCGCGATCTGTCCAGCGAGCTCCCAGCTCATGATGTGGTCGGTTCTTCTGTTACGGTGTAGTGTGGGTTGAAGAAGACTCAAAGTCCAAAGGCTCCAATACAAACGATTTACTTAAATTTTTTCTCACAGGTACATACAGACAGGCAGGATAACACACACTCTAAACACAATTATGAACAAAGTAGAACCGACAAGGACTGACTGAACAGAGGGAAACTAAATACAGATACCAATGAACACTAACGAGGTGAGGACAGGTGACACGGATGATGATGACGATGAACAGGTGTGTAATGAGGGAGTGAGTTCAGGTGTGAAGACACGAGGGATACTGGGAAGTGTAGTGAAGACGAAGACAGGATGGTGCAGACGATGACTGTGACAGCAACAACACACTTGCTTGTGTGATATTGTATAAGTATAAAGGGCAGTAGCTCTCAAAACTCCAAACTTCCAAGGACAGGACAATGCCACAAACTCATTTTTTACCAGTTTTATTCTGGCATTTAATGTTAAAGCATTTTCCAAAACACAACATTTTCATGTGTTTAAAAAAATACTGTGTTGACCTTTAAAATGACCTTTATCCAACAGATTACAAATAGAATCTTATGAAAGGGATTTACAGTGGTGGTGGTGTTGGCATTCTGCTGTCCTGAATGATATCATGTGGTGTTTAATGCTGTGACACACAGAATAAGTCATGTCTGCTGGTGGTGACACCAGGTGAGAGAGTGACTTTTGAAAATGCCTGTTTCTGTGTGAGAGAGTGTTGTCTTATTGGGATTCTGTTGGTGCAGCAGACAGAGCAGATCACTAGCTTGGGTTAATGGGGAGATTACTCGGTAGATGAGTGTAATATAATAAATTAAACCCCAACAGATCACAGGACATCAGACACATCACAGGGTCTCAAGCCCTCCATGAATAGAGACATTCAGTCCACACCAGAAAAAAGCTTTTTGAAATGTGCTTTAGTATGTTTTGTGTGCCTGAAAATGTTGCATTGAGTGTGTAAGCATTTTAAAATGGCAGAAAAGAAACAGCTAATAAAAGCAGTATCTAAAAATGGCACAAATTAGCAGCAGTCGGCCACATTGTGAGGCTGCAGTACTCTTGGATGATTTAATATACAAATAACTCTTTAAATTACAACAGAGAAAAAAAAAACATTTATTTGTTACACCAGTCTGTTGTGGTTGTGAAAGGTTTTATTCCTGCTTATGTAACAGCTGTCTGTATTCAGATTCGTCAGTCGTGGCATTGACCCATATAATATTTCTTTATAATGACGGCTAAACTGTATATGTTTACCATAATTTAAAGACAAAATCCCAGTGCCAGTTTGATGTCTCTCATATCAGGATGATTGTAACTGACTATTTCTCTTTAACATAATTTTAAGCTAATCTTCATTTAAGATAATAAAATAATTTTAAGTCATATCAATATGTTGAATCACATGTTCATTAATATAATCAAGTATGTGTAACTCACCCAGCATGCATGAAGATGTAGCTAAGATAGCGCCAGGCCTGAGCTCTGAGCTGCGGGTGGTATGGCAATGGGCCCTTCAGGAAGAATGGCGATGACACCTGCAGAACCCAGCGGTTCAGCTGCAGTCCGTAATACATAAAGACAACAACCTGAGAAAGACGTGGTAAGTAAGAGAGTAAGAGGCTGTTACTGATGTGTGACACCTCCAAAACAGCATTTTAAGGCATTTTATGGAATTATATGTGCACTCTTGCCTCAAAGGGTGTTCTAAAAGGTAAGGAAACATAATTATGCAGCCTCGGAACCTAGCTGTAGAATTCCAAGGCAGCATCACATACAGTACATCGACCTGTACATTACCGTTCAAAAGTTAGGGGCCAGTAATATTTTTCAAAGTTAAAAAAAAAAGTATTTTATGCCCACCACGGGTGCATTTATTTGATCAAAAATACAGTAAATACAGTAATATTGTGAAATAATATTACACTTTTAAATAAAATTTTTTCTATTTTTGTTTATTTTTTTTCCATTATTTTTGTTGAATTTTCAGCAGTCATTATTCCAGTCTTTAGTGTCTCAAGATCCTTCAAAAACTATTACATTAAATGCATTAGAGAAGATGTTCCCACAATGTAATGCGATTAGCTTAGTAGAAAATAGATACAATATGGGGAAAACAACTTTTCTGTTACGACCCTGGTTCCCTATGTAATGATACACTGCGTCAGTCTTGATTGCGTCTGAAACACGTGTTCAATAAACTCCAATGTCATTGGTGCAACGTCACCCTGTGATGTGTGACGGCGCACCATGGAAGCTATAAAGGATACCTGGAACACAGAAGCATCAACTTCTGATTGGTTGAAGAAAGTTACTCACAGGCATGCCGGAAGTATGGCAAGGGAACCAGAGTTACAGTGGTAACCGAAACGTTCCCTTTTGGGGAACTCTATGTAGTGTCTGATGATGACGCTACCCTGGAACGAAATACCACTGAGCACCTCTAAAGCTTATATGCCGCCATAGTTCTAGTAGAGTAGGCCCTTACAACCAGAGGCGAAGGAAGGTCACGCACCTTTATAGGCAGTATAAAATCCATTTACTTATTTTCAGATTGGAAGCAGGGGAACCTCGCCGGGTGATCCAAAGCATACCAGCAGCTGGTCAGTATTGCGCCACTGAGCAGACCGGTGGACGTAACACTTAAGAGCCCTCATTGGGCAAAGCAAGTTTATCTTCTCTTGTGTGTGTAAGGATGGGTGTAGGAACCCACAGTAGTCACTTTCAAATCCAGACTCAAAACACTTCTGTTTAGCTATGCATTTACTGAATGAGCACTGTGCCACTGTTCGTCCGACTGTTTTTACTGTACTGTACTTTATTTTATTTTTTATTCTAAACTGTTTTAATTATTCTTATTTGTTTTGATTATTTTAATTTCTTCTATGTAAAGCACTTTGAATTACCATTGTGTATGAAATGTGCTATATAAATAAACTTGCCTTGCCTTCTCTTGGTCCACCGACAAGAATGGAGGAGGGTAAAAGGCCTGCAATTCTACTGAGTAGTAGTACTTTGTTTTAAAGCTTTGTCAAGCTTTAAATGGCCTGTCCACTAGCCTTTCCTTCTCTTGGCCTTCTCTCCTACGTTCGGGTTGCTGTCCTGCGGGGCCGCACCAGGCCCCAGACCCCAGGGCAGCAGACCTTGACTCACAACCAGCCATGTGCTCATTCAGGAGAGAGAGGACTCTCTCAACCACAACAGAATCAAGGACAACCTCAGGAGTTTGGCACGACGTCTTCATTCAACACAGAAGAAGTCCATCGCAGCTCCTACCATTTGCTCTGCGTGTCCTCTCCGGCCCAGGGTCGGCAGGCCACAATCTGCACTCCAGCCATGAGAACAGAGTCGAACTACCCATGCAAGTTCATCATATCTTCTTCATCCAACTGAGAAGAAAACGATGGCAACTTCAACATTTGACATTCACGGAACCAACAACTTAAATTTTCAACAACTTCAAGGATTGTTTCCTCTGACCAGGCCATGCAAGTATCGATTTAATGAGGTGCTCTGAAAATGATAGGCTGATGGTTCTTTTCATTGTTAAATGGATCTTTCCCATAGTTCCATTTCCTGCTTCCGATTCCATTCTGTCCCTCACCCTTTTACCCATACATGTATGTATGTGTTTAGATTAGTTATGTTTGTGATTTAGTTAATAAAACTTGTGCACAATACGTATTTGGTTCTGATTCTCTGCTTGCAACAAAGTTTACCTTACAACAAACTATACTTGGACCGGCCAGAGCAGGGATATTAACAGTAGACGTACCCCGTCCTGGCGAACTCTCTCTAGAACTTCCGGGAGTAGAGCGATTGGGGGAAATGCGTAGCCTCAGCCACGTCTCAACCATGGCATCCAGCCCAGTGCATTCCCTGAAATGTGTGAGGGAAACCCAGAGTGGACAGTGTGTCATCTCCTCTGAAGCGAACAAGTTCACTTTCGCCTGGCCGAACTTCCTTTAAATCAACTCCACCATCTTGGGGTGGAGTCTCCATTCCCCGGGCCTCAGCCCCTGTCTCAATAGGATGTCTGCTCCCTGATTCAGGTACCCAGGGATGTAGACTGCTCTCAGGGAGAACAGCTTGCCGTGACCCCACAGAATGATCTGGTGTACCAGTCTGCAAAGAGGGTGTGACCGCAGACCCCCCTGTATGAGACTACAAATCATGTATGAGACTACAAATGTGTTGTCTGATCAGACAAGAACATGATAGCCTCTGAGGTCTGGGAGGAAGTACTTCAGTGCCAGAAATACATCCATAACCTCCGGACAATTTATGTGCCATGAGAGATGATTACCTCTCCAGAGACCATGAGTTGAGCAGCAATCTAGGACCGCACCCTAGCCTGTGAGGGCAAATGGGCAAAGAGGCAGAACGTGGGTGGAGTTGAGAAACCTGGTTGCTGAAATTGCGCCCGCCTAGCTCAACATGATCAAGTTAGCTCAGGCTAAGGAGCTAATGCTATATGCTACTGGCAGTACCGTCGCAAGGGCTGTGCCAAGTGTGTGACCACACAGGGCCTTGCACTAAAGTGACAGTTGACTTGATGATGTAAAGCCAATAGATAAAGTTAATGTTTTTACCCTTTGAAATAGTATAATAGTTAAAAGACATAGCTAAAAGTGAGACTATGTGTGTTATGCGAGTTAAAAATGTATTATGCAGTAACTTACAATATTGCTCTGAGCGGATGCGTGTGACAGTGATTCATGTGCATACACGTCAGTCATTGCACGTCAAGTTTGTAGAGAGATTTATTTAGTCCATTTTAAATTCTGATTTTGGCCGCCTTTCAAATGGGCCAAACCAAAGATATTACCTAAGAAGTTCAAGTGAATGCGCTCGAAATCCACGCTCATTCAAGGATGTGCATTTATTGCAAGGACGGAGAAAGCACTGACACCTGCAGGATTTCACTATGCGCACAAGGATTTTTTTAAACACTAAAAAGTTAAATAAGCATAATATAGTCTATCTGTTCCGTGAGAGCAACGGTATTGCAGAAAGAGTGTAGCCTCTATATCTATAGACGTTTTTAAATCGGAAAACGTACTCGGTTACTTACGCAACCTCGGTTCTCTCTAGAAGAGGGAACGAGTACTGCGTAATATCTTATGCTGGGGGAAAACCTCTTTTCCACGAGATATTGAAGCCAAAATTATCCTTAATTTTGAATTAATGTAAAATGTATTGCGGCAGCATGCAGACATAGGCAAGACGGCTCGCGTGCCTATTGGCTGTCCTGCGGCAACTACAGCAGCCTATCGAGAGAGGCCCTTGGTGACGTCAGATCCAATGGGATCAGGTCACCATACATCACGTGGCCGAGACGGGCGTGGCCTGGGCCTATAAATATAGCTTGATGGGCTGATATAATCTGTTTTTTCATCGCCGAAGCGAACCAGAGCATGTTGCAGGCACGGCAAAGATACGCAGTACTCGTTCCCTCTTCTAGAGAGAACCGAGGTTACGTTAGTAACCGAGTACGTTCTCTTACGAGATGTTCTCTCGTACTGCGTAATATCTTACGCTAGGGGAACACAATGCAAAACGCCGTGCGTGCTGGGATCCAACACCAAAGTCCCAAGGGCAGGTGCCCGGGGCTCATATAGTGCATAATCACCAGTGACTCACAGAGAGTCTGAGAAGAGAGGCTAGAAGTGTCATTTCCAATAAGTAGCATCCTAAGGGAGCTAATCACATCATCAGTGTTCCACACAGTCAGGGTGAAAATGTTCTTACTTACTGCCCATGGAGTTTTTTTTTTTTTTTTTGATCAGCAAGCGGTGCTCAAGTGGTTTCAGGATTCTGAGCCGACGCAACGGAGCAGACAGTACTGATCTTTAGACCGAAAGTAGTTTAGCCTGTAAGGCGGGAACCTCTAGGTTATAAAACCTTATAAATGTAGACGGGGAGGCCCAGCCTGCCCCTTGCCAGCCTGCCCCGCTTGTAAGTCCCCTGTGCGCTTCACTGAAGTGAGAGCCATAAGAAACACTGTTTTGAACGACAAATGTTTCATGTCTGATAAATGGATTGACTCGAACGGGGTACCTTTCATGGCTTCCAAAACGGTCCCACATAGGAACTGAAGGGGGTCTGGGAGGATTCAGCCTCTTAGCTCCCTTAAGGAAGCGGATGACCAGATCGTTCTTCCCCAGTGACTGGCCAGTCGTTGGTTTAGTAAACGCCGCTATGGCCGCCACATAAACCTTGAGCGTGGATGGGGTTCTGCCCTTATCCAGTAGCTCTTGAAGGAAGGAGAGAACTTCCGTGACCCCGCAGTCTAGGGGTGAAAAGCCTCGAGCTTTGCACCAGCCAGAAAACAGACCATTTTGAGGAATAGAGTCGTCTAGTAGACGGGGCTCTAGCCTGCGTGATCGTGTTTAACACTCCCTCCGGGAGGTTAGCGGGTACCCGTTGATGGCCCATGCATGTAGGGACCACAGCTCTGGGCGAGGATGCCAAATCGAGCCCTTGGCCTGAGAAAGGAGGTCTTTCCTCGTATTGGCCATGGGGCAGTGCTTGTCAGCTGCATCAGAACTGGGAACCAAGCCTGGTTTTTCCAGAGCAGAGCCACAAG